ACAAACAATAACAATATGTCACAATTTACACTAGGCAATTGTAATCATCGAAAATTTCATTTATAAACTGAGAATAGTAGCGAGTAAACTTGCCTAATGTAAATCGTAACTAAAATTTTTAATTTTTTTGTTTTTTTTTCATAAATAAAAATTTTTGCAAAATTTCAAATGAAAATTAATTTAATAATTTTGCAAAAAAATGTACTTTTGAAGCTCTATTTAAAAAAATAATATTTACCATTTAATAATATTTTTTTCTTTTTCATAAACACATTTTTTGTAAAATTTCTAATGAAATCAGATTTAATTGTTTTGCAAAAAAAAAATAGTATTCTTTAGAAGCTCTATATAAAAAATGATAATATTTACCATTTAATAAGATTAAGTTTTGAACCATTAAATTCTTAATACTTTTTGTCCACTAAAAACTAGCAACATATAAATATGGCGAATTTTTGTACAGTATATTTTGCATTATTGCAAACATTTGAAATAAAAAAAATAGAAAATAGTTCTGATATATTTTTTAGAAATATGAAATATATAAAATATTTTTTCTTTGGTAAATGGAGCAAAAATTAGCATTTCGTTTTGAAAAAAATCTAATATATTATTAAAATCCATAGAGGTTTTTAAATGGGGTACAAAATGGGTAGAGAACAATTCAAAAATTGTTTAAGATATATACGATTTATGGAGTGAGCATCAAGAGAGATCTTGAGTATTTTGAAGTCGCCTCAAACGTCTTCAAGTTTATAGGATCAGTGTTTTTACAACTTTAGGACGAAAGTGGTACAAAACTGTCCAAATTCAATCGGAATAGATACCCATTAATATTTAAATTGATGTGTAATTACTGAATAAATTACTACGAAATTTTTAATGTCCTAGCGTTATTTTCCAACTAATATGGCACTGTGGATTATAAAATTCAAGTTTAGGTAAAAAAATTAAGTTTTTATACCCTTCGCAATGGGGAAGACAATCAATATATCTAAAATTAATGGGGGCTCCTATTAATATTAATCGCAGAAAAAAAGAGTGGGGTTAATAATGTTTTGTGCACATATGTGGTGATACCTTTATGAGAACCAAAAATACCAAATTTGATTAAAAAACATTTCAAAACTCCCCACTTAGGGAGACATCATATTACCCTTAAACGTGGATCAACATTAAAAATTTTAGTACGAAAATATTAACAATTTTTGGTATCGATTACTGGGGGGGGGTACCATTATATTTATATCCTTCACCACACTGTGGTACAGGGTATTATGTCTTTTTGCATAGGTTTGTAACAGGCAAAAGAAAAGGAGGCAGACACAGGGTTCTTTTTGAGAATAAGCATAGAATCATTTTCTAAGTCGATTTATGCATGTCCGTCTGTCAGTCCATGTATTCGTGTGAACAAAATACAGGTCGCATTTATGACCCGATTTAGATGAAATTTGACACATCTCTTTTGTTTTGTCCAAGGACGAACTCTATTGAAATTGGAAAAATCAGTTCAGATTTAAATATAGCTCCCATATATATTTTTGTCCAATTTTAACAAAATGGTGCATCAATACAGCTTACTGAAATAGGTCCATATTGAGGTATTCGAAGTTTTGTTAAAATCGGTTCAATTGTATATATATCTCCCATATATATTTCTACCAGATTTTAAATAAATGGTGCACCAAACTATCAATATTGGTCCGATTTAGACAAAATTTTACACAGCGTATTGGATTAGGAAACCAAATTAGATTTAAATATAGCCCCATATATAGTTTCCTCCGATTTTATGTAAATGGTACACCACAGTCCCTATATATTTTTCGATTTGCAGAAAATTTCACATAGCGTACTGATTTGAGCATGGGATGATATGTGCTAAGTCTTGTAAAAATCGGTTCAGATTTAGATATAGCTCCCATATATAGTTTAATCTGATTTAAAAGAAATTATGCACCAAATTCTCTATATATCTTTCGATTTGCACGAAATTTGGCATAACGTACCGAATTAAGTCTAGAATGATGTGTGCTAAGTTTCGTAAAAATCGGTTCAGATTTAGATATAGCTACCATATATATTTTCGTCCGATTCTATGTATGTATTACTTTCGATTAGCGCGAAATTTAGCATGGCGTACTAAAAAAAAACTCTAATGATGTGTGCTAAGTTTTGTGAAAATCGGTTCAGACTTAGATATTGCTCCCATATATATTTTCGTCCGATTTTAAGTAAATAGTGCACCAAAATCCCAATGCTTGTCCGATTGAGGCAATATTTCCCACAGCGTATTTAATTAGGTACAGATTGATGTTTGCGATGATTTTTTGGAAATCGATTCAGATTTAGATATAGATCCCATATAAATTTTCGTCCGATTTTATGTGAATGGTGAACCAAACTCTTAATGTTTGTCCGACTGAGAAAAAATTTTACACAGCTTACAGAATTAGGTCCAAAGTTTTGTTGAAATTGGTTCAGCTACATATTTGGTGGAAAAATAATTAAAACAATTATAGTTGAAATTTAGCTCCTGGGTGACGTTACCACTGCAAACATGCCAGGCAACGTCAATAATTTTTCCGATTTTATTAACATTTTCGACGACCGGCCTACATGTTCAAGTTGCATCTTTAACATCAAAAATTCCTGAACGGAATCTACGAACCAACCGAAACCAATTGCACATTATTGGCTGTTACAGTATCGAAACCTTAAAACCATTCACAATTTTAGCCGCTTTGCTGAGAAATGCACCCTTCCAGCGAGCATAAATCTGAAATTGTTTGAATGAAACTTTTCGAGAAATCTATCAGTACAGCCATCTGCCGAAAAAAATGTGGATTTTTTTTCTTCAACCTAACATTTTCGACCGACCCTTCAACCGGCCGGTCTGCATAGTGTGCTGTGCTGCAGCAAATCGAATGTAAACTCAAACATGCTAGTTGACTTTAAACCATTTTACATAAATCTGTCCCATAGTACACAAACGGTTATAAATCTACCCGAATGAAATGAATAGCAGATGGACCGATGTTAATCGGTTCTCATATAGTTAAAGATCACATATTTAAGTTCTTCTAATCTCATGTCAACGTTCCTCTAAAAATGCGACGTCTGTCAGGATAAATATATTGAATATGTCCAAAGTGGTGAAGGGTATCATATAGTCGGCCCCGTCCAACTACTTTCTTCACTGGTTTTTATACCCCACACAAGAGCCCCAAGAGTTTGTAACGCCGCGAAATATTGTTCCACTTGTGAGTATACTTTAGTCTGGACTAGCTGAATCGATCTAGACATGTGTGTTCGTCCGTCCGTCTGTCCATTATAATTTATAAACACGATTCAGGCTACAGTTATGGACCAAACATCACGATGGGTTCTGCCCCACTTAAAACCTCTATTGTTTTTGGTAAAGATAGAAATCGAAAATTTAATTGTTTGTGTTTTTTTCGAGTCGATCTATAGGCCACAATTATAAGCCGAACATTACAACACCTCTAATCGGGTATGGGTCTGCAAATATCACGAAATGTTGGCCAGGCTCGGAATAAACATCCGCAGAAAGTTAGAGCTCCGTAGTACTTACGTATTATATCCTATGGTCAGCCCCGTCCAACTATGCTGCCCCGCTCACTGGTTCAATATGGGTCTATGTTTTGATATAGCACACCCTTAAGGGATTTGTGAATATAATATGGAATTAAAGACCTTTATGGACAACTTATAGAATTTTCAGATAAATATTAAAACTAACACAAAGTTATTGATTATTCGATCGAAATGACTGATTCTAGTTCCCAAAAGAAAAAAAATATTTCAAAATCTATATTCTACCAATGCTAACTCCCTTTCGAAATTCAATTCTAAAATTTGCTCCATTTTAAATATTTCGCATAACACATTTTCAAAAATTCAGGTAACTTCAGATGCTAATTTCCTTTGCTTTTCTTTAAATAATCTCACTGTGTACACACATTTTTCAATGCCATGTCGTTCAAAGTTATAAATATTTTTTTTATTTTTCTTATAAATAATTAACACCGGTTGTATTTTGTATGACTTTGTTCGTAGGCTCTTTAGTCTGGGTTTATACATGCAACTTTTGTAAGCAATTCTGCTGAGTTCTTAAAAGTGAGAGGTATAAAAAAGTGACAAGGGGGAAGAAAGTCAAAAGGGAATCGAAGAGAGCAGCAGCACCAGAGTGGCTTAAAAAAGTTGCATGTATAAACCCAGACTTTCAAATGTTCCCTTAATGGAGCTTCTCACAAGAGTTTGAAAAGGTGTTCGTAAATAACAAAAAATAAAAAAGTTGAATAATTTTAAAATAATTTTAATAATGAAATATTAATAATGGTATAAATTCTGTAACATTTTATTGTGAGAGGTTCCCTTGAATTTTCAACACTTAGTTTCTTTTAATTTTCTCTGTCGCTCTCTTTGGATTTGAATCATTTAATGATATGCATTTTCCATAACATAACAAATTCCTTCCTTCCACTAAAAAAATGTATTCAACAAACCAATAAAACATATTATTAAATATTTGGAAAAGAACAATTATATGGAAGAGAATATTTTTTCCTTTGGCTCTTCTGGGCCAGCTAAGAGTTTGAGTTGTGATTTCACTACAAATGTTTGTAAAACATGTTTTCCATTTTTTTCTATTTTGGTTCTACAGGTTTGGTGGTGTTTGTAAACTACTCTACTTTGGTTGTTGTTGTTGCCGTTGAATTCATCTATATTTTGTTTGTCTATATATATGCAGGTATGTATGTATATTTTTATATATGAGTATTATATTATTTGTTGTATATATAGTATCTTTTTTCTTCCCATTATAAATATTTTGTTGTTGTTGTTTTTATTTGTAGTATATTCTAATATATAATTGTTGTTATTTTCTCTTTTTTTATCCATGTTGTTGTAGATTTTTTTTTCAACATTTTTGTGTGTTTCAAATGTTTTTGTCTCGATTTTTGTGGTAGTAAATAATTTATTTATTTTCAATTATTGTCTGCAATTGCAGGACTAAACTACGCGACAATTGCAATATTGATTGGGCATTGTGACGTTCCGCCATTTCTGTAAAGGAGAACAAATTCAAAATGAATATATATACATAAATAAATATAAAAGCAATTAATAGTTGTATATTTAATAAAATAGTTTAATTTTTTTTATTTATTTATATATTTTTTTAATTTCCACGGTCTTGGGACTTACCATTGAAAAACTTGATGACATCCGTAAAATCCATACTATTTGATAGTATTATATCTCGATACGTTTCCAATAAAGCCAATGCCAAAAATAGTACAAAATGTCCGGAGGCAACATGCTTCGCCGCCCATATTACTTCCCATGTGGCAAAGACATCGTCATAGACCAGTTCGCGTTTGAAATCCAACAAAAACCAACGATAACAGAAATAGAAATGGGTATAGTCACCATTCGAATCCATTAAATCGTACATTTCCGAATCCAAAATTTGGATTAGGGATCTGAAATAAAAATACAAAATATATTATTAAAACTAATCTTTAAACCAGTGAGCGAAGCAGTATAATCGGACGGGGCCGACCATACGATACAACAACCACAGAACTCTATCATTCTGCAGATTTTTATTCCGAACCTGGGTAATATTTCGTGATAGTCCGACTAGAATAGCACCTCTTCCATACACTGACACATTTTCCGAATATTACTAATGTTCAGTACAACCCTTCTAATTACTTATCCAAATTCCCTTCACCGTGGGTTGTGTTGTGATGTTCGGCTTATAATTGTAGAATCACAAAATAACAATATCTTGGATATACAACTTCTCCATTCTATGTCCTTCAGGAGTTAATATATACGCTATAGAATACAAATTTTGTCATTTTTCACAAATAAATATTGACCGATCTTTATCAAAGCAGGCATGCTTATTCTTTGGCCCAATCCGAGATATTTGGGCCATAATTGCGGCCTCTGAAGCGACCAGAAAAACCGACAAAAAACAAGTATTTGGTCCATTTCATCCACTAAATATTAACCGATCTTTACCAAAAACAATAGCGGTCTTCATTGGGTCGAACCCTTCCTACATGCAAAATTTCGTGAAGATTGGTCCATAACTGTGGCCTGTATCGTGTTTACAAAGATCGACTCAGCTAGTCGAGATATGACGATCGGTATGCTTAAAGGTGGGTCTAGGACTTATATTTCGCGGCGTTACAAACTCTTGAGGCTACACAAAGCTATAATACCCTGACAACATAGTTGTGTAGGGTATAAAAATAGTCCTTGAAAATATTCTTTGAAAAATCCACGCCTATTATAACCAATCGGACACCCGTTGATTATTTGGATAAACATCTGATAAACATGAGGAGTTTGGTCCACCATTTACATAAAATCGGAGGAAAATATATATAAAAGCTATATCGAAATCTAAACCGTTTCATCGAAACTTGTCACACGTTAGGTTATACTAATTTCAGTATGTTTTGTGCATATCGGCCACATTTTGAGTTCTTGATGCCTCATTTACTTATATCTAAATCTGAACCGAATCTCAGGAAACTTAACACACATCATTCCAGACCTAATACAGTACGCTATGCCAAATTTCGTACAAATCGAAAATTATATAGGGACTTTGGTGCACCATTTACATTAAATCGTACGAAAATATATATGGGAGCTATATCTAAATTTGAAACGATTTTCAGGAAACTTAACATACATCATTCTAGACCTAATTCAGTGCGCTATGCCAAATTTCGTACAAATCGAAAGATATATGGGGACTTTAGTGCAAACATTTACATTAAATCGGACGAAAATATATATGGGAGCTATATCTAAATTTGAAACGATTTTCAGGAAACTTAACATGCATCATTCTAGACCTAATTCAGTGCGCTATGCCAAATTTCGTGCAAATCGAAAGATATATAGGAACTTTAGTGCACCATTTACATTAAATCGGACGTAAATATGTATGGCACCTACATCTTAATCTGAACCGATTTTAAGGAAACTTGACACAAATCATTCTAGACCGAATTCAGTGCGCTATGCCAAATTTCGTGCAAATCGAAAGATATATAGGGACTTTAGTGCAACATTTACATAAAATCGGATGAAACTATATATGGGAGCTATATCTCTAATTCAGTGCGCTATGCCAAATTTCGTGCAAATCTAAAGATATATAGGGGCTTTGGTGCACCATTTACATTAAATCGGACGAAAATATATATGGGAGCTATATCTAAATCTGAACCGATTTTCAGGATACTTGACACACATCATTCTAGACCTAATTCAGTGTGCTATGCCAAATTTCGTGCAAATCGAAAGATATATAGGGACTTTGATGCACCATTTACATAAAATCGGACGAAACTATATACGGGAGCTATATCTAAATCTGAACCGATTTTCACGAAACTTGTGATGTCTTGGCTCAATTCAGTACGTTATGTCAAATTTCATGCAAATCGAAAGATATATAGGGACTTTGGTCCACCATTTCAGAAATCGGATGAAACGCCTATTGTCTCTATGAAAAAAATATCCTTTCAGAAATCCACGCCTATTGGTCTATAAAAAAATATCCTTTCAGAAATCCACGCCTATTGTCTCTATGAAAAAAATATCCTTTCAGAAATCCACGCCTATTGTCTCTATGAAAAAAATATCCTTTCAGAAATCCACGCCTATTGGTCTATAAAAAAAATATCCTTTCAAAAACCCACGCCTATTGGTCTATGAAAAAAATATCCTTTCAGAAATCCACGCCTATTGGTCTATGACACATTCTTTAAAAAATCCATTCCTATTCATCTATGAAAAATATGAATCCAAGGATTCAATGATTCCCTCAAAGTATTCTTACCTCATATTAGCAAAATGCATATCCATGGCACCACCATTCGGGAAGTTCTCAATCATCCGTTCCATTAGCTTACAGAAGCAACCATAAGCCAAAACTTCGTCATCAAAAATAACCAGAAGTGGGGCCACCAAATCACACATGCCCTGCATGTAGCCAACTTCCAAGTGTTCCCAGACATAGCTAAAATATTCAGAATCGTTGAGAACCCCTTCCATACCTGAAAATACCAAGCTACTCACGTGGTAATGACATTCCGCAATTTATCCAAATTCTCATTGGCAAAATACCAATAGTTCCGATCACAGCGTTGAACATCCTTTTCGATGCGATGTAAATTCAAAGCGAAATTTTCCAAAAATTCACACTGCAAAAAAAAGGATTTTAAATCGAGATTGGGTACACCTTCTAAAAATCTCTCTGAAACACTTACACTATACACCCCACCATTGGAACTGGCTGGAGAGACACATGCCGATTTGGGTTCCTGCAGTGCATCCAAGGATGCCACCACGGTGATATCCTCATTCATAGGTGACATTAAACTGGTTTTACGTGATGTTTCATCGGTGGGTTCGTCGGTACACTCCAAAGCATCAATGGAAGCGGCTTCCGTAATAATGACTGCATGTGTGGGCTGTGAATAAATATCGTCTGTAGAGGCTCGTCGTACATCCTCCAGACTGTGGAATTTCTTGGGTACATTACTAAGACCGTCTTCTTCTTGTTCCTCCTCATCATCCTGTTCCACAGCTTCAGTACCGATTTCTTCATCAACATTCCCGAGTTCTTGTGATTCATTGGTTTCTTCCATTTCCGCTTCCACTTCTTCTTCTACTTCGACTTCCACTTCTTCCATGTCCATGTCATGTTCATTGGCTGTCATTTCAACCATATCGGTAAATTCATTACCCACTGTTTCGTAGGAAGAGGTGGAGGGAGAACTTTTTATGCTCAGCAGTAACATGCCGCTCTGTTCGGGGGTTAAGCCATTTTCGGGTTCCGATTCGGCAAAACATTGTTCATTCAGGGGCAAGGGTTCGATTTCCTCTAGGGCCACAATAATTTTGTCACGATTTGCTTGCAGGGCAGCCTCGTCATCAGCCTCGGCTTCAGCTTCATCAACCGCGGTGTCAACTTCGTTTTCTATTATTTCCTCTTTAGCTTGTGTTACTTCTTCTACCACTGCATCTTCTGTGTCAGGTTCCCCAACCTCCAAAGCTTCTTCAACCTTCTCTCCCTCCTCTCCCTCATTCTCCACAGCTGCTGCATCCTCAATCACATCTGTATCCTCTCCCACCTCCTTGACATATTCCTCATTTCGACGATTTTCTTCCTTTTCCCTTAGCATACCCTCAACTTCGTCCTCCACCAACTCTTCATCATCACAATTACCCGAATCTTTTTCCTCCTGAATATGCCCTGTGAAATCATCATCAAAATCAATACCCGGATCAGAAATATCCGAAAAATCATGATCATCGAACACATCATTATCCATATCATCCTGATCCAGTTCGGTTTGACGATAAACTTGTTTCTCATTTTTACGTTTATTCTCTGCCGATATTTTGGCCATGGCCTTGGCATTTTTCTCTTTCTCTCGCTGGCGTACTATGGCCTCCACAGCCAACCATTCACTCATGGTGGTCTCATAGTAATGTTTGCTGGTGTCGTCTAATTTCTGACGTTCCTCGATGGTGGAACCAAAGCTGGAAAAAGATTAAAGACCTTGGAAAATTTTCCTATTCGGGGAGTGAGCAAAGGACTTACCTGTAGTAGCCCAAAAGATATGGCCACACCTCCTTGCGTATTTCATGGGCCACACCACCAAAGTAAACCAAGCGGAATAATTCCTCGTGGCTTGTTATTACTCCGTTCTCGTGTAAAGCTATCCATTTTTCTTTCGTTAAGCCGGATTCATTGACTGCCACTGGAAATGAAAAAAATCCCTGTTATGGAACCTTGAAAATTTAGATCTGAAAATAATTTTTATACTCACAATCTGGGGTTATCCTGCCATTAACCAATCCCGACAAATGTGTACGAACTGTCGACAAATGCCGACAATAGGCCAGCCAACCATAAAATGCTCTCGATATAATCTGACGTCTCATTGTGGAACAGACCAATTCGATGCTAGCAGTTTGGCTAGCTTGGATCTGAAAGGCAATACATATAATTAGCTTCTCAGAACCCCCCTAAAAATTCCGCCATTTTACTCACCAACGGTGGGTCAACATTTATGCTCTGCTCCATTGATAAACTTTTGCTCGAGCAACCACTACTCCCAGTAGTGGAACAGCTGCCTAAATGTTTGCGTCTCGGACTGGTGCGTCCCAGTTCCAAAATCGGATGGGTGGCCACTAAAATGGGAATTCAAGTTTTCTATTAATATTTCCGAACTTCGGTCAAAAAATTTAGCTTACAAAACTCTTCATGCTGACTTTTGCTAACCACCCGGAAGACATAATCGATGGGTGTTTCATCACTCGACTCCATAACCGAGGGCAAAATACGCCTGCGTACACTCTTCGGCCAGGGGAACATTTTACCTATGCCACGCTGTGACCACAATGGTGGATCCAATTGGCCGTGGGGCAAAAGACCCGTTTCCAAACAACTGAGAAACGATTGCATGTGACCGCCTTCGGGAAAATGTATGGGGGGTCTTTGGACACCGTCTTGGCCCACGAGAATAACTGTACCTCCCGTATCTTCACCACGATTCTGATGACAGTGGACATAGACAATTTCATCGACATTTATATTCAAAGCATAGGCCCAATACGACGTTAGATCGGAGCCTTCATTATCTGTATAACCATTCATCAGCTGATTCGGAGTCCATTTAATGGTCAACGATTGGATGTTCTGATGAAGGCTTAAATAGCCCGGCATGGGTTCGCTGACATCTTTCTAAAAGGGAAAAACAGAGGCTTTAAACATGTACATCGTCTTAGATTACTTCAAAATCTTACCGGTAACACCAATACATTATTTTTACCATACAATAATGTGGTCCTAGAGTTCTGATGCAAGGACTCTACATAGTCCTTGGCCACACTGGCCGGTGAGCTGGCCTTAAACGAACCACTACTGGTATCCTCGGAACTTGTGTGCAAACTACGTTTAAAATTGATTATGGGTCGATGACAGGTGGGTGGGGTACGATTACCGGAACTTATGCGATGTCTTTGTATCTGTGAAACAGACAAAACACAATTAGCGTAAGGTATGCATGTTCGCACCCTTGCTTACCAATTCATCAGCCGGTGGATCTGAAAAATAATGATCAGCTGTCTTGGCCCTGGTAAATTCCAAGGCACAGGGGCCCACCAGTAACGAACTTAATATGGAACCATAATCGGGATCTGCGACCAGCGCATCCCGATCATAGTAATTATTGGCATTGTTAACCAAATGCTCAATGATTTTTGATAAGCGTTTTTCATATAAAGCCACCCGAATCCACAGGTACCTGTAATCACAAAAAAACTTCCTTAATTATTATCCGAAAAATAAACTCTCTTTGGTCCTACTCACTTTACCACGGGTCCATTTGCTGGCGAACCCATGGAAATGGTATTTATCGTTGTCACCGAATTACTGCTACCTTTACTGAGGAGTTTTGGTTTTATAATACTATCACTGCTCGAACAGGAACGTTTACCCGCCACCGTTGAACTTTCAATGGCCACTTCTATCTCCAAGAGACGTCGACTCACGTAGTCAGCCTCCGGACAGGCTTTGGCAATTTTCTGTATCAGTGCTGTGGTGGAGGATGTTTTAAAGAGACCCAAGGCTCGTCGTCGCAGACCATGACTGAGACAAGCCTCTACGGCTCCGCATAGCGATGTGACCAAACTACTTTCCTCATGTATGTATTTCTTGGTTACAGCTTCTTCCATAAGCTGTTTCACTTCCTTCTTAACGGAGGCTATGAGGCGTTCTTTGAGTTCGGCATCTGGAATGGGTAGACAATGAAAAAAATATTTTTTTGAACACATTTGCAATTTATAAATTTTAAAAAATGTATTTGATAAAATATTCCTTAAAAATCCTCGCCTATAAATGTCCTTAAAAAATATTCTTTAAAAAATCTTCGCCTATAGAAGCCCTTGATAAAATATTCCTTAAAAATCCTCGCCTATAAAAGTCTTTAAAAATCTTTGCCTATAGAAGTCCTGGAAAAAATATTCCTTAAAGAATATTTTTTAAAAAATCCACGCCTAAAGAATTTGTTGAAAAAATATATGGAAATCCGAACCGATTTTCACGAAACTTGGCACACATCACTCTAGGTTCAATTCAGTACGCTGTTCCAAATTTCATGTAAATCGAAAGATATATAGGGACTCTGGTGCACCATCTACCTTAAATCGGACGAAAATATATATGGGAGCCATATCTAAATCTGAACCGATTTTCGCGAAACTTAACACACATCACTCTAGACTTCATTTTGTACTCTATGTCAAATTTCGTGCAAATCGAAGGATATATAGGGACTGTGGTGCACTATTTGCCTAAAATCGGACGAAAATATATATGGGAGCTATATCTAAATCTGAACCGATTTTCGCGAAACTTAACACACATCATTCTAGACGTAATTCAGTATGCTATGTCAAATTTCGTGCAAATCGAAGGATATATACGGACTTTGGTGCACTATTTACCTAAAATCGGACGAAAATATATATGGGAGCTATATTTAAGTCTGAACCGATTTTCGCGAAACTTAACACACATCATTCTAGACCTCATTAATTACGCTGTTCCAAATTTTGTGCAAATCGAAAGATATATAGGGTATTTGGTGCACCATTTACATTAAATCGGACAAAAATATATATGGAAGCTATATATAAAACTGAACCAATTTTCACGAAACTTAGCACACATCATTCTAGGCTTAATTCAGTACGATGTGCTAAATTGCGTGCAAATCGATAGATATTTAGGGACGTTGATGCACCATTTACCTTAAATCAGACGGAAATATATATGGGAACTATATCTAAATCTGAACCGATTTTTCCCAATTTCAATAGGGTTCGTCCATGGGCCAAATAAATGAGGTGTGTCAAATTTCATCCAATTCGAATCATAAATGCGACCTGTACTTTGTTCACTATTAAACATGGAGAGACAGACGGACGGACATGCATAAATCGACTTAGATAGTGATTCTATGCATATTCTCAAAAGGAACCATGTGTCTATCTCGTTTCCTTTTGCCTGTTACAAACATACGCACAAAGACTAATACACTGTACCACAGTGTGGTGAAGGGTATAAAAATCCACGCCTATAGAAGACCTTAAAAAAATATGCTTTAAAAATCCACGCCTATAGAAGACCTTAAAAAAATATGCTTTAAAAATCCACGCCTATAGAAGACCTTAAAAAAATATGCTTTAAAAAATCCACGCATAGAAGACCTTGAAAAAATATTCTTTAAAAAATCCACGCCTATAGAAGTCGTTGAAAAAATATTCTTTAAAAAATCCACGCCTATAGAAGACCTTGAAAAAAATATTCTTTAAAAAATCCACGCCTATAGAAGACCTTGAAAAAAATATTCTTTAAAAAATCCACGCCTATAGAAGACCTTGAAAAAAATATTCTTTAAAAAATCCACGCCTATAGAAGACCTTGAAAAAAATATTCTTTAAAAAATCCACGCCTATAGAAGACCTTGAAAAAATATTCTTTAAAAAATCCACGCCTATAGAAGACCTTGAAAAAATATTCTTTAAAAAATCCACGCCTATAGAAGACCTTGAAAAAATATTCTTTAAAAAATCCACGCCTATAGAAGACCTTGAAAAAATATTCTTAAAAAAAATCCACGCCTATAGAAGACCTTGAAAAAATATTCTTTAAAAAATCCACGCCTATAGAAGACCTTGAAAAAATATTCTTTAAAAAATCCACGCCTATAAAAGACCTTGAAAAAATATTCTTTAAAAAATCCACGCCTATAGAAGTCGTTGAAAAAATATTCTTTAAAAAATCCACGCCTATAGACGTTTTTGAAAAAGTATGCTTTAAAAAATCCACGCCTCTAGAAGTCGTTGAAAAAGTATGCTTTAAAAAATTCAAGCCTATGCCTGTTGTAATCATTGGAAAAATATTCCGACACCTACCATCCCTTTTATTTGTTCCTTGGCATTTTGTAATTTTCCATTTTCTTTGTTGAAGTTTTCAAGTAAATTTCCTTGATATGACCATTTTCAATCAATTACCCTCATACAGACAACGTATGTCCGTGAAGGACTTTAACGATGCTACACATACATCATCTCGGTTCGGGGAGTGTGTGCACGTAGCACTTGTTATGATGGACCATGGCATTAACCTGTGTCAATCATTGTCAGTGCCATTACAAGAGGTTACAGGATATGTCATCTACATTCTCAACATGTCCGAACATCATCAATGTTACAGAAGTTAGAACACGTGTACACTAAAGAATTGTGTGTGTGTGTGAGTGTAGTAATGATTGGCATTGAATTGGTTTGTAATTAAAACAAATGTTAATAATAGTAGAAAGGTCCTCGGACAGCCCTTGAAAAAAATATTCTTCTATTGCCCTGCTAATGCTTGTGAAAAATGTTATTCAAAAAATCCGCGAACATTTGCCCTGTTAACCAAAAAAATGTTCTTTAAAAATTCTCGTCTATGCTTCAAAAAAAAATATTCTTTTAAAAAATGTTTGAAAAATTCTTTATTACCCTGCAACTACTTTAAAATATTTTTTTTTAGCAAATCTAAGTCGTGGACTAATAATTTTCCAAAATAGTAACTCCAATTTCCGTTGTCTCAAATATCCTCATCAGCGACTTATTATTTCCACCCATTTATCAATTTATTGCTATTGCAGTAACCACAAAAAAACACAAAGCGCCAACTAATTTGTTATTATGTATGTGTGTGAGTGTGTGTTTTTTGCTAAAAGGTCAATTGGTATGGCACCTAATGACATATTGATAACAATCAATGTAAGAGCTTAATTCTTGTTATTATTATTGTTGCCGCTGTTGTTGTTGTTTCTATTAAAACAAAATTAATACCCATCAAAATCTCATTACTTAGAGACTCCCACGTACACACAACCACTCACACACACACATCGAGATAAAAAGGAAAACAGAAATACATTCACACCCACAACACCAACAGGCAGCTACTTTATCATCATCAACAACATCGATGTTCTGTCGTTGTTGTTGTTATCGGTCTAACCTCTAAAACTAAATCGCAAAAGAAGAAATGAAAAACAAAACAACAAATCTTGGCACAATAACTGGTATTAACAAGTAAAACTTTTCCATATCTCGTTCCGCTCCCTGTCTCTCTCTCTCTCACTCACTCTCTTTTTTCCCAATTTAGTATTACTAATTGCAATACCGAGAAGTAAAGGGAATTATCATACAATCAGCTGTTACATATAGAACTACTGCGATTGGTGGGGAAATAATGTGAAGGGTTAAAGGACAAATGACATAGCAAGCTGACATAGCCCGAAGTCCTTGAAAAAATATTCTTTAAAAAATCCACGACTATAGAGGTCGTAGAAAAAATATTCTTTAAAAAATCCACGCCTATAGAAGTCGTTGAAAAAATATTCTTTAAAAAATCCACGCCTATAGAAGTCGTTGAAAAAATATTCTTTAAAAAATCCACGCCTATAGAAGTCCTTGAAAAAATATTCTTTAAAAAATCCACGCCTATTTATAGTCCTTGAAAAAATAAATCGACTCAAAAAGTGATTCTATGCATATTCTCAAAAGGAACCATGTGTCTATCTCGTTTCCTTTGCCTGTCACAAACATATGCACAAAGACAAAAAATATTCTTTAAAAAATCCACGCATATAGAAGTCCTTGAAAAAATATTCTTTAAAAAATCCACGCATATAGAAGTCCTTGAAAAAATATTCTTTAAAAAATCCACGCCTATTTATAGTCCTTGAAAAAATATTCTTTAAAAAATCCACGCCTATTTATAGTCCTTGAAAAAATATTCTTTAAAAAATCCACGCCTATTTATAGTCCTTGAAAAAATATTCTTTAAAAAATCCACGCCTATTTATAGTCCTTGAAAAAATATTCTTTAAAAAATCCACGCCTATTTATAGTCCTTGAAAAAATATTCTTTAAAAAATCCACGCCTATTTATAGTCCTTGAAAAAATATTCTTTAAAAAATCCACGCCTATTATAACCCTTGAAAAAATATTCTTTAAAAAATCCACGCCTATTTATATTCCTTAAAAAAATATTCTTTAAAAAATCCACGCCTATTTATAGTCCTTGAAAAAATATTCTTTAAAAAATCCACGCCTATTTATAGTCCTTGAAAAAATATTCTTTAAAAAATCCACGCCTATTTATATTCCTTGAAAAAATATTCTTTAAAAAATCCACGCCTATAGAAGTCCTTGAAAAAATATTCTTTAAAAAATCCACGCCTATAGAAGTCCTTGAATAAATATTCTTTAAAAAATCCACGCCTATTTATAGTCCTTGAAAAAATATTCTTTAAAAAATCCACGCCTATTTATAGTCCTTGAAAAAATATTCTTTAAAAAATCCACGCCTATTATAACCCTTGAAAAAATATTCTTTAAAAAATCCACGTCTATTTATAGTCCTTGAAAAAATATTCTTTAAGAAATCCACGTCTATTTATAGTCCTTGAAAAAATATTGTTTAAAAAATCCACGCCTATTTATAGTCCTTGAAAAAATATTCTTTAAAAAATCCACGCCTATAGAAGTCCTTGAAAAAATATTCTTTAAAAAATCCACGCTTATAGTGGTTCGGGAAAAAATTTCTTTAAAAAATCCACGCTTATAGTGGTTCGGGAAAAAATTTCTTTAAAAAATCCACGCTTATAGCAGTCCTTGAAAAAATATTCTTTAAAAAATCCACGCCTATAGAAGTCCTTGAAAAAA